AGTTTTTGATTTGTCAACTGTCTGATATATAGTGATATCACCATACATTTAATTAATGTTTATATATTATTCTTTTTCTTTTAACATCTGTATGTTCTTAAGTTTAAAGTAAATCTCTTGTAAACAGAATATAGTTGAATGTTTAAAAAATTCAATAATATTTGTTATTTTATTGAAATGAGAGGTCCATAAACATTTAATGTAGAACATGATATAGTAGGGTCTGAGTTTGTCAGCCTGATCCTGGTTTTCTATTTGCCTTATTTTGGTCCTTCTTTGAATTAATCAAGCATTATTTGTTCCTTTATATGTGTATAGGCATTTTGAAGTAGTTATCCAATAGATTACATTGTGCAAGCTTGGTTTATTAGATTCCAGTCTAAATTTGTACTTCTAACACTTGCTGAAAAAAATACAAGAAATTTATAGCAATTTAACTTTATTTATTCTGTTGTCCTTTATGTTAGTCTTGTCATATTTTATACTTCTACATATCTTTAAACTATATTAGTCATTGTTACTGTTATTTTAAATGTTAATGTTTTTATTTGTTTACATATTTACCTTTCCATTCCTTTATGTTAATTCCTCTAGTTCTGTGCTTCTGTCTGGGGCCATTTTCTTTTAGCTGGATGAATCCTTTTCAGTTGAACAAGTTATCTCAGCTTTCATTCATCTGAAACTATTATTATTTCATCTTTGTATTTGGAGTATATTTTCTCTTAGTATAGAATTCTAGGTTGGTTGATTTATTATTTTCTTTTTCTGTCTTAGCACTTTAAAGATCTTGGTTTTTTTTAATTCTGTTTCTATTATTTATGACACACTATAGGTTTTTAGTCTGATTGCCATTTCTTTGACGGTAATGTAACTTTTCCCTGGCTACTTTTAAGGCTTTCACTTTGGCTTTTAGGCCTTTTACTCTGACATGTCTAGCTATGTTTGCTTCATATCCTGCTGAGGTTTGTAGAGCTTCATACGTTTGCTAGAGACTCATGTCTTTTGTTAGCTTTGGAAAATTCTTGGCCAGCATTCTTACTGCTTATGTGTCATTTTCTCCACTTTTGTAATTCCAGTTAGATGTGAGATGTGTGTTAGGCCTTTTTAACACGGCATACATGTCTTTAACACTTTTGAGTTGTATTTTCTCTCCATTTTTTCTGTCTTGATTTGTGATTTTATTTTACACTTTTGTTGCTCCATTTTACTCTTTTAAGAATTCTAGGCTTTGCTGAAGTTCTCCATTTATTCTGTTTGCTTTTTGCCTGGAACATATCAGTCATTATTAAAGTCTCTCATATAACTATAAAATGTGAATGACCTATGTGTCTTTTTTTCTGTTTTCTATTATTTCTGTTGGTCTTCCATCTACTCTCTCTCTCTTTTTTTTTACTGGAGATAAAATTCACATAGTGTGAAGTTCACCATTTTAACCTTTTAAAGTACAGATATTGTGGATTCCATTCTAGACCACCACAATAAAATGAATACTGCAATAAAGCTAGTCACAGAAAATCTTCTGTTTCCCAGAGCATATAAAAGTTGTGTTACACTGTACTGTAGTCTGTGAAGTGTGCATTGACACTGTGTCTGAACATCAGTGTACACACCTTAATTAAAAAATATTTGATTGCTAAAAATGCTCACCAGCATCAGAACCATCAGTGAGTTGTAATCTTTTTGCAATAGTAACATTAAACAGCACTGCTGACAGACCACCATGACAAATACAATAGTCATGAAAAAGTTTGAAATACTGTGAAAATTACCAAAACATGACACAGAAACTTGAAATGAGCATTGCTGTTGGAAAAATGGCACCAATATACTTGCTTCACATGGGGTTGCCACACACCTCTAATTTATAACACACACACGCATACAGTATCTTTGAAGCACAATAAAATAAGGAATTGTGGACAACTCAGTGGTTTTCAGTGTATTCACAGGGTATACAGCCATTACCATTATCTAATTTCAGGACACTTCCATCACCCCAAAAAGAACACTCATGACCATTGACCATCAGCTGCAATTCTCCCCTCTGCCCATTCCCCTGGCAAAGACTGATCAGTCTACTTTCTGTCTCTCTGGCTTTGCCTGTTCTGGACAGTTCATATAAATGGAATCATACCATGTATAGACTTTTGAGTCTGACATCTTCACTTAGCATAAGTGTTTGCAAGATGTGTCTGTGTTGTAGTGTGTATCAGTACTTCACTCCATTTTGTGGCTGAAAAACATCCCATTGTGTAGATAATTTATCACATTTTGTTTATTCATTCATCGGTTAAAGAACTTTTATTTTTTTCCCTACTGTTTGGCTATTTTATGAATAGTGCTGCTGTGAACATTCATGTTTAAATATGGTGTGAATATATGTCTTCAGTTCTCTTGGATCTATACCTGCAGTGGAATTGCTAGGTCCTTTGATAGCTCTGTGTTTACCTCTTTAAGAAACTGCTCAAGTGTTCTGCACAACAGCTGCACCCTTTTACAATCCCTTCAGCATGTATGAGAGTTACTCTCCCCACTTTCTTACCAACACTTGTTATTTTCTGTAGTTAAAAAAAAAAATTTCGTAGCCATCCTGATGAGTGTTGGCCATTTCTTACTTTTTGCAGAATGCCTTTTAATTTTAATTGAGGGCTTTTGCACTTGGTAGGGCTCATCTATTTAAATTTGATCTTAATCCAAGTAAAGGCTCTTTTGAAATCTTAACAGAGGGATTGACTTGTTTGAAGGCCTTTCTGATGTACTGGGACCTCTACTCCAATCTTTATCTCCCTTAAACAGGGCAGAGCTGGAATCTCTTCTCAGCTCTTTTTTGTCGTAATTGCTGTTTTCTGCTAGTTTTCTTGAATCTTCCCCTTCTTTCTGGTTCTTTCTCTCTGGGACTTTGTTCTTTAGTTTCCAGCTCTCCGGCAGCCAAAAATGCCAAAAATCTCTGTCTTAGTCTCGTAGGACTGGCGCCTGCATCATGGGCTCTGTTTTCCTGTTCCCTATTGAAGTCGGGAAAAGCCAGCGTGGCTGTGGGGTTGTGTTGTTTCTATTTTCCCTTCTTTTAAGAGTTGTAGCCCCTCTTGTTCCTCTTTGTGTACATCACTGTTCAGTGCCTTCAAATTTTTACTTTTATCTAGATTGTATTTTTATCTAGATTTTATCTAGATTTTTACTTTTATCTAGATTGTATTTTTTTTAGAGAAACAGTTTTAATTTTTCTTTGCCATTTTCAAAAAGTATAACTAACCAGGTAAAGAAGCACAAATATAAAGTAATGAATCTTGGAAAACATAGACAGAATACTCCTTGACATAAATCACAGCAAGATCTTTCTCAGTCCACCTCCTGGTTTCAGAACTTGATGAAGCTCAGGTTCTTGATGTCTCATGGCAGAAAGAATTCTATGAGAACCAGGTGATAGGTAAGAAATGGATTTAGAGAGAAAGACACTCCACAGGCAAGAGTTTGGGCCATCTCGGAAGGAGAGAGTGGCCTATCTGGATTTTACAGCTTTTACTAGAGAGAGGGTTAGTTTGATACAAGCTACTTTATTAGGATGGGAACTGAGAACACTGGTGTTTTATGAGTTGAATCACAAGAAGATGAGAAACTGATACCTACTGAGAGTGAGAGCACAAATTCTTGAACAAAAAATTTGGACAAGGTAATAGGAGGAAGGAATTTGATTTTCAAACTAGAGGGTCAAGTCAGCCATATTGAAGGAGGATAAAGAAAGGGCGATTTATAAGTGAGATATGTGACACCAAGTTGATGTTTGGTAATTTTTTTTAAATGGAGCAAAGTATTTAAAAAATAAAAATTGGATAAAGAATTTAGGATAAGATTTGAAGAGGAAATATTTAATAAGCAGTTATTGGATTGGATTCAGTAGTGGAAGAAACTAAGAATTGAATTTAAGATTTTGAATCTGTTTAATTTTGTAAATGGTGGTGGTTATGAGGTGGTTGGAGATTTGAGTGTTTACACGTGATGTCTAAAGAACGATGTATATCTGGTCAGTGTGCTAGGGAGGACTGTGTTTGCAAAATCTGGGTAGTATAGACATAGTAAACATGTCAGAGGAAGACTGAAGTAGAAATGGACATTCTGTTTAGAACACAGACAAGTAGAGAAAGAAAGCAAAATAGATCTGTTAAGATTTCCGTATCCTCTTACAGGCTTAAAAAACTAGGGTTTGGAAAGAAACTATATGCTTTCTCTACCCAAAAATCCCCAAGAAGGGAGCCAAGTTTACAGATCACCTTACCTTATATCTGTGTTTTTCCTTTTGCCCTTTTGTGAACTCTCAAGGTTAGTCAGTGATTTTCTTCACGCTTGCGTTAGGAAATTTGCCAAAGGCATCCTTTTGAGGCAGCTGTCTGTATACCCTTGGAGGCCGTCAGTAATGTTTCCAATCTATAGGAGTAGTCGGCACAAAAATGTTGGGCTGAGCTGCATCTCTGTGCTTTAAAACATTCCCCCTACACAATCACCCCCCTCCCAACAGTATAAAATATATCACATTTTGAAGTTTCTGTCCCGTAGTCTTTTGTCACTGTATCTTTTAAGGTGAAATACATCACTAAGAGTAAATATACCCCATTATATCAATAATGAAAGGAGGCTTGATTTTTAAAGTATAATTGAAATAGCAATAGTGGGCACCTTAGAAATCTTGATAGATAAACAAGAATTCTTTTTGTATTGAATGTTACAATTTTTAAATTTTCACTGTTAAGTAAAATATACCTCAGTTATGGTTCTTTTGGTCTAAGGTGGTCAGAGGATACATCCATGCTGATGATCCTGTGAAGTTTTTGGAGTGTATTAAACACAATGTGAATAAGCTCATGATTAAAATGCAGTAGAATAAGTTGAAACGCTTGTGTGTTTTTGCTCCTGTTCACTTGAATAATATAGGCAACTGTTACACCATATGCATCTTTAATATATTAGCCTGACTGTTTGTCTTGTTTTACTAAACTGTCTTCTTTCAGCCACCCACACAGAATATGCCTATGGGTCCCGGAGGGATGAGTCCGAGCGGCCCTCCCCCACCTCCGCGCGCTCACAACATGCCCTCAGATGGAATGGTAGGTGGGGGTCCTCCGGCACCACACATGCAGAACCAGATGAACGGCCAGATGCCTGGTAAGTTTCTCTCCTCTAAGACATTAACACCAGAGTTGCTTAGCAACTGAAACGACATGGGGGCTCAAGGGATACTTAGATTGTTGATGACAAAACTGCTTTGAATGCCCCCGAGTCCAAGCTCTCTTAGAGTTTGTTAGCTACAGAGCTACGTGACCTGTATTCAGTGTTTATCAGGCTGCCCTTGGGCTTTGATGTAGCTGACACACAGCATTCCTCTGATGAACAGAACTGGCTAAATTTAGTCTGTCTGAAACTATGCAATACAGCTGGCTTTAGAAGCTTTTGGGGGGGAAAAAAGGCATGGCATCGTGGCTTAAGAATGAAAATGTTTATAAAAATGTATTATAACATTTCTCTGAGTTTTGTATTTACTTGAAATTTTATTGATCTCAGAAACAATACTGCTGAAAAAATAACACATGGGGAGATAAAAACGAAACACTCTCTAAAGTGCTAATGTATTTAGTATTTCCTCATTGGTCTGTTGAAAGTGAGCTTGGATTTTTATGAATATATATGTTTATAGCATAATGGAAATGTGGAAATTGAGCAAAATCAAAAGCTGAAAAGTGTCAGCTTTCTTATATAATGCATCATTTGTTGTTTATCCATTTTAAGTTTAGAGCTATTTAAAATATCTTTCAGACCATCAGGTGCTGATTTATACACCTTTTGCTGGGTTGAATTTTTAATCTGAAAAGTATCTTTAAATTATCTTGTTTTTGTAACAACAGTCACACACCCATAATTTTTGGTGGGGTGTTTTCTACATTTAATGTGAGAATATTATTGCTTTCTAAAAACAAAGGTTATTTTCATTAACATAAAGTATTATACAAATAGCAATAGTGAGAGTAAATTAAAATCACAGAGAAGTTTATTTTTAAAATTAGTATTAGCATCCTTAGGATAGTATCAACTGATTGTGTCGGTAGCATTGGTGTTGAGGGTGGATGTAGAAAGCACAGAGCAAAAGAGGCCAGGTAACCTGGCTTAGAGGAGATCGATATGTGATTGATTGGTCATGTAGAGGGTGGGGTGTTTTGGTGGTAACTTTCTCTTTCTTTCTGGGGCTTCCACAGTCATGGCCCACATGGCCCTCACCCCACGTGGAGGCAGGATTAAAGACATAACAGCTTGTTGGTGCTAGTTAGAAGGAGACTTCTCGCTTCCTTCTGGTTGTAGTCAGAAGGAACTGGTTGTAGTCGAAGGAAGCTTCTTGCTCTGTCCACACTTGGATCATCAGGACACGTTGTTTTTAAAACTGTTAGGGTAGTGCCAGTGCAGGTTAGCAAGTCAGGGGAGTTTTGTGATTTCTTTTTTGTTTTTATGGTGGTGCCTTTAATTAGGAATTCGATTCAACTTTTCCAGGTAACATTCAAACCAAAGGCTTGAGGAAGCAAGCAAGCAGCAATATAATTATTGTTAACATGACATTTGGTTTTTGTGTAATGCCATCTGGAATAAGATATCTCTTTATGAGCCAGGGATTTTCAACCAGTTATAACCTGGGTTGTCCAGATTACTGGAGAACAACTAAAACAACTCATAGTTAGAAAGTTTACAGTTAGGTGTAGGAGAAATTGGAAGTCCAGTTAGTTATATTGTTTTTATTTAATAAGTTTCATATGGTATTTAGCCAACCTTTTTATGCACACAAATTTGTATCTAGGCTTTTAATTTCAGATTTTAGTTTTGTTTTGAATGTTTTGTCTTGTAAGTGGTAGTGCTCTTTATATGCTGTTTGATCTTGGTCACGTATCTTCCTTTAAAATAAATTTAGCAGGTTAAAAAAAAAACTAGATAATATATACCTATGGTGCCAAAATCAAAAGGTGTGAAAAGGCACACAGCCCCTATCTACCCAGAGTCGTTGTTCCAGATAGTCATTGGTGTCTAGTTACCCTTTAAAACATGTGCTGGTGTGCATTCTTTTTTCTTTCTTTTTTTTTTTTTTAAACACAAATGGTAGCATATGTTAGGTAGTATTATATTTCATATTTTTACCTCTTAAAAAATTTCCCTTAGAGACCGAGAGTATATAAAGATACACTTTGGAGACCACTCAGTATATAAAGAGCTGCCTCATTGTTTTTGATGACTGTATTACATTCTTTTTATGGATGCCTCATTTATTTGGACAATTTCCTTCTGATAGAAATATAGGTTATTTCTAGTCTTTTGGTTTTAAAAATTACACTTTTGTGAATATGCCTATGAAATATAAATAAATAAGTAAACAAACTTACAGTTTTGTATCCATATACATATTCACTCAAAAACTTGTATATAGGATAAAGTCCCAGAACTGAAATTGCTAGGTTAAAGGTATATGCATTTTATAATATGGTAGCTATTGCCATATTGGTCTACATAAAAATAGTACTTGTTACATTTATAGTCTTCCAATGAAGAATGAAAGTGCTTTTTTCTTCATAATATGGTTGGACAAAACTTTTGATCTTTGCAAATCTAAAAGATGAAAAATGGATCTCATGGTTTTAATTTGCCTTTTTACTATATTAAATGAAACAAGGAATTTTCTTATGTCTATGGCCTTTTTGCAGCTTTTGTGTGAACTGATGTTTCATATGTACTTTGCCTGTTTACTGCTGGTGGAGTTTTACCTACTTAGTTTATATGTTAAGTAATTAGTTTGGTCTGTGATATTTCTTGTAAACAATTTTCCCCAGTTAATCTTTTTGTTATTTAATTTTGCTTTGTTGATCATGTGCAAATGTTTTATTTTTATGTACTCTAGTTAATAAATCTTCTACAGTTCTGAGTTTTTTTTTGTATACTTAAGAAAGCACTTCCACTCTAAGTTTATTTTAGAAATTCTCCAGTTTGAAATACTCTTTCTTGGTTTCCTTACTTTTTCTTTCTTCTTTTTTAATGTTTAATTCTTTTATACATCTGGACTTAGTTTTGCTAGAAAAAACATGGTAGGGATCCAACCTGTGTTTTTCCAGATGTCTACTCAGTTGTCACAATATCACTTACTGAATTATCTTTCTTTTGCTCGCAGATACTTAGTATCAGAACCATTGTCATTTACCAGGTTGTGCTTTTGGGTCAGTTTTTAGATTGTGCTCTAGATTCATTGATCTGTTAATTTGTTCATTTATGTGTTAGCACTGCACACTTTTAATTCAGCTTCATATGTTTTGGTCTCTTATAAAGCAAGTCCTCCTTCATACTGTTTTTTTTTTTTTTTTAATTTTTCTAGAATGTTTCTGGCTTTTCAAAAGCATCAGTTTCTTAATGTGTAAAATGAGAATAGTAGTCCACCTTATAGCATTTGCTATCATTCAAGTAAAGCATTTACTTCTTCGGCTATTGATTCAGTACTCAAGTTATCATTTGGCATTACTATTGCATTAATGCAAAAAAAATAGCTTCTTAAGGCGCTTTTGTAGAGATCATCTGTTTAACTTTCATATTTTGGTTCTGATCACTTTTCTTCTAGGGCCCAACCATATGCCTATGCAGGGACCTGGGCCCAATCAACTTAATATGACAAACAGTTCCATGAACATGCCTTCAAGTAGCCATGGGTCCATGGGAGGTTACAACCATTCCGTGCCGTCATCCCAGAGCATGCCAGTGCAGAACCAGATGACCATGAGTCAAGGGCAGCCCATGGGAAACTATGGCCCCAGACCAAATATGAGTATGCAACCAAACCAAGGTAAGTTAGCTTTCTTTATACCCTTCTTGACTAGCATGCTCCATTATCTTTTGAAAATCGAGCAGTTTTTTCAAAATGTTAGCTGAGTTTCAAAAACACAAGTTTGAAGTAAGTCATACTCAGAAAAGGAACATCAAGTTTGAAACCAGCTGAAAATATTTTTTTCTTTTACATTTGGGAATTAAATTGCTCAGTTTAGCTTTTTAAGCCTATTTATTTTTATATTGTTTGGACAGTTTATTTGAGACAGTATTTTTGGATTTTGAAGCTAATCGGTGAATAACAGAACATTTGGTTAGACCTAGAGAATTGAGAAAATAAAATTTTATTTTATTAAGTACATCCCTTAAAAAGCATCTGCTCTGTGGTTCATTTTACTTGTGAAGAATATATTAATTTTCTTTGAATCTTCCTTGATTTAATGTTTTCTGATGCTGTGTTTCAGCATTAAAGGTAATTTTAAGATAATTTGTTGTTAGAATGTTCAGTGGAGGTGCTGCTGTATTCTTGTGTTATTAGAGTGGTGTGAAGTCTATTAAAGTTTATTACCAATCTCAGAGAATGAAATTGTTATCATGTTTCTCTTTTAAGTATTCTTGTGAATAATAACTAAAAACCAGTAAGTGGCGCTCTGTTCTGCTAATTGCCTGTTTAAACATTTGGCCTGTTGCCAGCTTAAAGCTGTTTCAATTATGAAATGTGGTGAGGTTAAGAGTCTCAGATAGAATTAAATGTATTTGCAATAAAATTCTCTAGATTTTGCTTATGAAAAACAAGTCACCAAAATACACCCAGATAAAGGAAGTTAATGTTAATCTGTTGATCATTCTTTTTGATGAAATAATATATTGTGATTTTATAATCTACAGATATTTTCTATAATTTTGGTAAAATACACCAGAAACAAAGGCAAATAAATGGAACAAATTGTCAATGAACATAGCTTCGCAGCACTGGCACTTGTTCCATTCTTTTCCCCTGAAAGTTGTTGAGTGCCCATTATGGAATATTTCCTTTTTTAAGTTATATCAAATAAAGGTTCAAAACCACAGCAAGATCCAGTCAGTGCTCAATCAGGAGGGGTTCAGATGTTTCCTATACAGTTTGATTACCAGGAAAGAGAGCAAAGAAAAGCAATAGCGATTCTTTACAGCAGCCACCGTAATGGTGGCTCACTTAGATAATACGTGTGCGAAAATGGAGGTTGCTACAGCATGGTTTGATGTGGCATCTTAAGATTTGAAGGGGTTTCCCAGGTGGCGCAGTGGTAAAGAATCCGCCCTCAGTGCAGGATACCTGGGTTCGATCCCTGGGTCAGGAAGATCCCCTGGAGAAGGAAATGCCAACCCACTCCAGTATTCTTGCCTGGGAAATCCCACGGACAGAGGAGCCTGGCAGGTTAAAGTCCATGGGTTTGCCAAGGAGTCAGACACAACCGAGCAACTGAGCATGTGCTTAAGATTTGAAGAAGAAAAATAACATGCAGCAATGTGTATGGAGAAAATAGTTTTACTGTTTTTGGAAAAAGGAATTGAAGTTTCATAGGAGTTTCTGTTCAAAACATAGCCACCAGCTATTACTGTTCTTTAAAATTATTTTTCTTTCATTGAGTTACAGTTAACATACAGTATTAGTTTCAGGTGTATAGCATAATGATTTGTTAGTTTCATGCATTATGAAATGATAACCATAAGAACAGTTACCATCTGTTATTGAACTAAATTGTTAAATATTATTCACTATATTCTCTATGTGTACATTATACCACCATGACTTACTTATTTTATACCTGGAAGTTTGTACCTCTTAATCTCTTTCACCTATTTTGTGCATCACCCCCAACACCCCACAGTGTTCTACTGAAAAATGTCCTATTTGTATCAATGTGTAGTTTTTTCTTCTTTTAGAAGTTATTTTACTTTTTCTTTGTTCTCATAATTTGTGAATTTATGAATAGAAAATAGACTGTATAAAACATGACTTTGAGGATCTGATTTAGAAATAAAAGCTACATTTCAAAAGAAAAGAGGATGTTATTGAGGAAATTACCACTGTTTTGAAAAATCTCTTCAGGACAAATATAAAGCTTTTCAGTTAAATTTTGGCATTTCAGAATCAAGAACCACCGAAGAAAATTACAATTACCATGGAAAAAAGGAGGGAAAGTTATATGAGTTTTTAGCAATACTTGCTTTCTTAATCACAAAAAACTTTTCAGTTAAATTCCTTATAAAAATATTTTGGAATTCCTTATAAAAATACTTTAATTACATGGTACCTGTTGGATTTTTAAAAACTTGTTCAGCATGACATGTTTTATTTGAAGTTTTAATATTTATTTTATTATAAAACCTTTCCTTAGTTTTATACAAATAAGCTACATGTTTTACATTACATTTTTTCTGTTTTGATAAATAGGTGAAAGAAATTAGAGGAGACTACGTTTTAAAATAAAGCTTAGAAGAATATCAATATTCTATAAAAGGAAATGTTTTCTACTTTAAAAATTTTTTGTTATTATTTGTTGAAATATTATTTGCTGTTCTTTGATTTAGTTCAGATTTCAAAACATTGAGGCCTTTTGACTATCTGCTTATTTCTGTATACATATCTCTACATCAAGAGATATTAGGAAGAAAATGTTAAAACCACTTATTTTTTAACAATGAAATTTATTAAATATTTAACAATGAAATAGTGGAATTTCTTAGATTAAATCTCTGTCCAATGACAAACAAAGGGGAGAAAAAGCCAGCCCAGATAATTGTGTTTTAAAAACAAATAACAATTATTTAACCTTTGTCACATTAATAATTATTATTTAGGTGACATATTTGGGTACTTTATCTGATGATGTCTTAGTAGTTTTTTAAATAGAACATTGCTGGTCAAGACCTAGATGTGTTTTATTCTGGTAGTTTTGAAGTGGCTTTGTTTTTTACCCTCTCTCCTTTCATTTCCTTTCCTTTCCTTCTTTTTTTTCTCCCTGCTTTGAAAATGAAATTCAGGAGGAAAATAATACTCGTCTAAAAATTTTGTCATGTATTTTGGAGTCTGATTGAAATAAATTCGAAAGATAGATATCTTATATATTTTCTGTTTATCATTTTGATTGTTTAAAAAAGGAAGGAGAAGCAGCATGATAATTTATACTCATAGTTCCAATATAAAAGGGGACATTGTGTACTAGTGTTATAGTAAAAGTATCATTTCTGGCAATGAAATTATGGAATGTCTTTGGATGTCATTAATTCTCTAAAAGCTGTTTTCAGCTTTTAAATTTTTACTGTAAAATTGAAAAATAATAGTAAACCAAATTAATGCAAAGTCTAATATAGTGAAAACATGTAGACCTACCATACCAAACATGGCCTCATTAAATTTACTGATTTCTATATTCATGGTCATTAAAAAATTATAAGTTAAATAAACTTACATGACAGTGGCATTGCAGTTGGTACCTACTTTTAGTTGTAGTTTTATGTGTGTGAATTGAGAAAGCAAATATTTTTAAATTTAGCGTTTAGTGTATATTCTTTTATGAGGACAGCTGTTTTTAGATGAGTGGTTTAGCAAGTTTTTGATGTTAATTTCTTTCTTAAATTGCTGCACAATGTTGTAAATAGTTAATCTGATCTACTTACTGTGTTATTTTAACTATTTCCCACATTAAGTTCAGTGATGTTCACTTTGAACTTTAGGAGTAAGGCTCATGTTCACAGTTGATCACCTTCTTACGTGTTGGATCTACTCACTAACATAGCGTTCGCTCCACTGCAACTCAGACAGCTCCAAAGAGGCAGAGGTTTGCCTCTTTTGTCCTGGTGTCTAGAACAAAACCTGGGGGTAGGCATGCAGATCTGTCTTTTCAGTGAATGGGAACTGAAACCAAATGTTACATGATAACCCAGAAAGATATAGAGTTAGTGCCTTAAAGATGTTTCTTAAAAGTCTAATTAATTTAAATAGAGTGGTAGGCTTTCTGGACCAACAGTTAACATTTGATCAAACCAGCATATTTTTCATTCCCAGGCTTTAGTGATTATAGCTTTCCAGATTTTAACACCATTTTACTTACATATTACATATTCAAATGTAAGGATTTTCACAAATTTTTATGTTTGTGCTAAAGCATATATTTCACAACTTCCAGGTATGGTATATAATTCTTCAGACTTGGATCCAAGTCTTGGCCCCATAGAGTACTGTGTATGGGACCTCTCTTTAATTTTCTTAATTTCTTTAAGTAAGATTAAGTGAGATGATGCATTTAAAAAGCCTAATTCCATAATTATTTGTATAATTTACATAAAATGAGAACAAGGGTTTTTTTTTGTAATAATGAGAACTTGAGATCTGTTTATTGGCTATTGTCTTCTTTAGCCATAAGACCTAATTTATTTCTGGCTTTAGTTTTGTTTGAACAGTATTAAGAAAGTCTTGATTCATTTAGCTCATAAGTTGCAAGTGATAATGATCTGATCTAGAAGCTTGACATTAGAGTAGTGGGAAATTTTTCTTTCAGTACCTTTACCATATAAATATAAAGGGCAAAAAATATTATCATAGCCAGGGTTGTTATATTTACTCTTATTATATAGTGGTTTACTACCAGTTATATATTCAATTTTTTTAGAAACTGCCAAAGTACCTCTCCCATTTTACCATCCCAGCCGCACAGTGCCTGTGGGATCTGCTTTCTTCAGATCCTTTCCAGCATTTGGTATGGTCAATTTTTAAAAAATCTTAGCTGTTCTAAAAATGAGTAGTAGATCACACCTCATTGTGGCCTTAATTTGCATCTCCCCAATGACTGGCCATGCTGAACATCTTTTCACGTGCTTATTTGCCATCTGTATATCCTCTTCAGTGAAATGTCTTTTCATGTCTTTTGCCCATTTTCTAGTTGAATTATTGTCTAACTGTTGAGTTTTGAGAAGTCTTCATATATTCTTTTAGGATTAATTTAAAATTTTTCTCCCGGGTTTTTTTTTAATGTA